CCGGAAGCTGCATCATCCGTTGACGACTCCAATATCATCACAGGATCATCTTCATCGTCTTCGTCTTCCTTTAAACCTTGAGTTCTTCTTTCAGCTTGATCCCAATCTTTCTTACAAACACAAATTTGAATGCTTTCCGGAGTTAAGCGAGATCTTTTTTCATCTAACACTCTTCTACCTGCACTAAAAGCAGACTCGGAAGCAACAGATGAAGCGGGAACTGCAAGTATATCTTTTGCAATTCTCGCCAATATAGGAAAACTTTTTTTATGTTCTTGCCACCATTTTATAATTTGAAAGTTGTTGTTGGTCTCATGTTGATATGACAAATAATCATTAATAGCAAGTGTTGAAGAAGATGATGATGAGAATGATGTAGATGCTTTGTGTTTTTTTTTCATAACTTTATCAAGAAAACCAAATCTAGAATCGGAAGTGCTAGTAGTAGTTGGTGTTGCCAAATCAAAACCATAAATAGATGCATAATGATCATAAAGGTCTCCCAAAACAGATTTGCATTTGTTAATATATTCACTAACATCATAATCGATACTTAAACTTGTATAATAAAATTCTAAAAGATTTTCCAAACCTTCAGCTTTGACACCGGGGTCAAGAATAGCAACAATTCCATAAATGATTGGAAATTCACTAAAATAAGTATGCCACTTACGTTTCATGCTATCAAGAACGGGACGAAGTCCATCAATCTTCATATGCTCTTCGATGGTGTGAACAACTTTAACACACTCAATTATGACTAAATGAACGTTAGGCTCATAAATATAAGAGAAAATATGAGTTGCACTATCAAAAGCATTTAAAACATCACGAACAAAAGAAGCATTAGTCCAATGACTTTCGGTTATTAACTCAGTAGGATCAACACGAGTCTCATTGTAAAGTTGGGTCAAAATATCACGATACTTTATAGCATCACTCAACAACTTGAAAGTAGAATTCCAACGGGTAGGGGTATCAATAGACCATTGTCTTTTCTTAAGACCTCTCTCTTTACACATAGCTATGTACTTTCTTCTAACTGACTGAGTAATCCTAATCCATTTTATAACTGTTCTAATTGGGTTTAGCAATGGTTGCAACTCAGCGAGACCCTCTTGAACAGACAAATTCAAAATATGAGCACAACATCTAACATGCAAGAGACTACCACCCAACAACAAATTCAACTCGGAGTCATTTTTCAAATAGTCAATACACTTTGTGTTTGCAGTTGCATTATCAAGAGACAAAGAAAAAACTTTATTATTCAAGTGAAATTCTTTTAAACAATCCAAAATACGAACTTTGATGTTAAAACCGGTATGCCTTTCTTCCATAGCTTGAAAACATAGTATACGTTTTTGAATAAACCAATCATCATCCACCCAATGAGCAGTAATGCAAAGAAAAGGTTCGCCAAAACTAGAAGTCCATGTATCACTTGTAAAACTAACACGACCATCAAAAGTACGAAATAATTCAATCAAACCACTCCTATACTTATAATAAGAAGTTTGTGTATAACGTCTTACGGTATTTCGGGGGACACGAGTAAATGCAGGTTGTAATGCAACTTTATTAAAATGCTCAACGTTTGCATTTTCACCGTAACTAAAAGGGTATTCATTAGCAATAACTAAAGTACTCATTTCATCAATCATTCTATCTTTATTATAAATGAAAGGTGTACCTCCGCCGGGTTGGTTCATGTATCCACCCAATTGTGTTTGGACGCCACCCCCCGAAGGACGGGGGCCATTTTCGAACAAGTCGTGTTTATTTTGCAAATGCCGACTCAAGGTTCCGGTTCCATCTCCCGTTTTCCAATTATATGACTTGACATTTGCACCTAGCGCCTTGCAAACTAGGCATGTACACGTGAACCTCTTTGGTTGACCAGGTTGCCATCCCGGGGGTGTGACCTCAACTCGTTCAAAATGTTTCCACACCCAAGAAAAATGTGCTCGACCTCTACTTTCACCGCCACCACCTTTCATAAATCAAATTATTAAAATTAATTTTTAAATGCTATTCATGAAAATAAGCTTTTAAATTTTAAATATTTTAATTATACTTATTTAAACGCATTTTTCATGGTAATTAACTAATTGTAAATCATAGAAAATTGGAAACTAAACTAACTTTATAATCATTAATAATAGTTTTTTTAAATATTCATAACAATAAAAATTTAATTAGAAATTACCTTGAGATGAAGGTTGAGATGTTGGTTGCGATGGAGGTGGCATAGTTGAACTTGATGATTGGTGGGACTCGTGGGAGAAATGTTGTGGTGGAGACGTTTGAATATTTTGCCTATCTCCTAAACCATAATCTCCATATTCATTGACAAATTGGTTTAAATTTTCCGTATTAATTTCATACGAAAAATTTGCACCACCACTCCTTTGGCTACCACTTCGACCACCACTTTGACTCCTTCCCATTCCTCCTCTTGAGCTCATTTTTTTTTTGTATGATTACTAATTATAATATGGAGAAGAACTTTTTTTTTTTAGAATCTTAAGAATACTAATAATAATATTAAGGAGATTTTTTTTAACAAAAATATAACTCTATATAACACTTGAGAATTTGAGAACAATAAGAATTTTTAAGTAAGAGAGAAAGAAAGCTTGAATTTGTGTGGAAATTTGAGTGAAATGGAATTGGTATTTATAGGAAAAATAGAATGGATGATCATACACTTAAAAAACTAGCCGTTAGATACAAAAAACTAGCCGTTAGATACAAAAAACTAGCCGTTTTTTTTTTAAAATGGATGTTAGGCCGTGCGGGTCGTGCGAATTGTGCGGGCTGTGCGGGCCGTGCGGGTTGTGCGGGCCGTGCGGGTTGTGCCGGCCGTGCGGGTTGGGTGGGTCATGCGTGCGGGTTGGGTGGGTCATGCGTGCGGGCTAGGTGGGTTGGCTCGTGCGGGTTGGGTGGGTCATTCGTGCGGGTGGGCCGTGCGGGCTGGGTTGTGCCAGGTGGGTCGGGTTAGGTGGGTTCACGGGCTAGGTGTGTCGAATTAAATGAGTCAAAACGGGTTGTGCGATTTGGGTCGAATCAAACGGGTTAAACTGAGCTGGGTTGAAATGGGTTGTGTCGAAAATTTTGGACCCACGACACAACCCGGATTAAATCCGAGCTGTGCCGGGCTGTGCCGGATTGAAACCGGGTCGGACCCATGTGACCCACCAGCCGTGCGAGTTAGGGTGGGCTGGGTCCAACCCGGCCCACTGGCCACCTCTACCAATAAATGAGTGTAATTATGTTATAATTCAACTTAATTTCTTCGTTTGGCATTCTTGAGCTTCAATTGTATTTTATGTGTAATTTTTGCTCGACTTTCTTTCGGTTCTGAATGCAATTGTATTTTTGTTTAATTTTGTATTTTCTAATTGGCTGAATTGTTGATTTTTGGAGGTTAAATTGCTGATTTTGGAGTCGGGCTTTGGTGGCGAATTGGTGGAGCAATTGGTGGATGTTGTATGGGCGTCTGATAGAGATGCTGCTACTGATGTTGCGGCTGGACTGCTGTGGTGGTCATTGCGATAGATGGTCATGTGAATTGGCGGAGGTTGGTTGTGGATTTGGAGGTTGTGAGGTGGATGAACTACATGGCTGGCTAGGCGAATTAAGGTAGCTGGTGGTTATTGTGGGAATGCGTAGCTACTATGTGTTGTTGGGTTGAGTGGGTTGTGCTGAAGTAGGAGAGTGGCGTGGATACTTGTAGGTTGCAGCAGGGGAGTTACAAGGTTGTTATTGTTGCTTGTTGATGTTGAGTAGGTTAGCTGATGGTGGGGTGAAGGTTTAGGCTGCTTAGGGGCAGGAGCAAAGGAGGGGGGGGGGGGGGGGGCAGCAGCCTTATGATGCAAAAGAACATTCGACAAAAAATCAAAACTCTGAACTTGATTGGTTATAAGCTTTATTGTTTGCGTGTTAGAAATCTATTAGCTCAATTGGTTGAGCAATATGTACTTGTATTGCACACATGACGTGGGTTCGAACTTGCATAGGTTTACATGTAGTGATATTTATAAAATATAGTCAAAATTAATCAAATAACTTTTTTTTTTATACAGAGTGACCTTTATTTATACATACTTTACATAGTGACCTTTGTGTAAATGTGGTCAAAATTGATAGTTACCTTATTTTTGTAAATAGTGACTTCTATATAAATGTGGTCAATGTTGCCAAAATTGATATAACTACCTTATTTTTATATATAGTGACATTCATTATTTTTATATATAGTGGTCTCTGTATAAATGTGGTTAAAATTGATATAGTTACCTTATTTTTGTATATAGTGACCTTTATGTAAATGTGGTCAAAATTGATATAATTACCCTATTTTTATATATAGTGACCTCTAAGTAAATATTGTAAAAATTGATATAATTACTTTATTATTGTATATAGTGACCTCAATGTATATGTTATCAAAATTGATATAGTTACTTCATTTTTGAATTTAGTGACTTTTAAATCGTCTGAGCTAATAATGAATGGTTGAGATTTGTTGTTTTCAGCATAAACCTTGTTTTCAGCATAGGAGAAATACCTTTGATAGGGAGAAAAATAGAGAGAAAAGAGAGAGAGAGAAAGTTACGCGTGCAAATGAAGGAGGAGAGAGAAACTAAATGCTTTAGTATGAAATTGTGGGAAAAAAAACCCCAACCGTTAGATTTAATGAGTCAGTGGTTGATTATAATCTACGGTCAAGATTTGATGTTTTCAGTTTTCAGCTTAAACCTTGTTTTTACGTGATCCACTCCCTATATATTTGGGCTTATTTTCATACTTACGTATTTATTTTAGAGATACTATATAAACTCCTTAGATTATTAACTTAGCTACTCGTATTATGTAACAATATATCATTCTCAAGATCAATAAAACATACACTACCCTCTCGTTGCTCAGGAACTTAGATTTGAATTGCTAAGCCATTGATCTTTTCACGTTTGTTACAACAAGGGACTAATATAACTCCATTAAATTAAATAAGTTGGGTTGGATATGAAATGAGCCTGATTGAGGCTTGAAATCTCAAAGATCCAGTACATGCCAAAAATCTATGAATAAGAATATGAAAAGAAAGGCAACTAGTTTTGTATCAAGGGTAGAAAAGACTAACGTGCAGTAAAAACATCTCATAAAGTTTATTCATATTGTTTTTCTTATATAATCATCTTTGCTGGAAGTTGAGGAACTTGATGCCAAAGGCAAAAACGAAGGAAAAGAGGAGAACCCAAGCAATATGAGCAACAGCAACAAAGGGTAAGAAATGATACTCATAACCCAACATTTCTTTTAGAAGAAGATTCAAGGGCACATTACCCACTTCGAGTATTTCAACTAAATTGTTCTTGTCACCAATTTGCGATGTCAACAAACCGTACATTGTCCATGAAACGGGTGAAGCCCAATAAAACCACCTCCACCAAATTGGAATTAGCTGCAAGATGGAATGTTTGAAAAGGGTTACAAAGTATAATTTATACCCTCCGTCCTTAAATAAAATATCATGTAACGTACTTTATCTAATTAGAACGAAATAATCTTTGATGTTTTAACATGCCTATTATATAGAGTAATTTCTTTTGTATAATAATTAAGTAAATCGTTAAGAAGGGAAAACATACCGTTCTAGGAAGGAAAAAACCAGCAAATAAATTCCATAAGGTGGCAAATAATGTCAAGAAAATGGCTGAAATTTCTTGTCGCGGAGTCAATGAAACAAGCATCATCCCGAACATTGTATAGTACGTAAAGCTCATAAAGATGAAGTAGAAGTAGAAGAATTTCCCAATCGTCCACTCAAATCCGATCATAGAGTAAAGGAGTAGACAATAGACAAAATTCACAATTGCAACGTAGATTGCCTCTATAGCCAGCTGCATGATAAGCATATGGAAAAGAAAAATAAATGTTACTCCGTACTACTATTAGAATTGTATGGAATATACGTATTTTTGCGGAAAATACTTGTTGATCTTCATGATCAATTTAGTTTGTCAATCATGAGGGTAAAATAGACTTTTCCATCATTAAACCAGGGACAATATGGTAATATCCCTTAGTGTGAATCAGTCTCTTCGCCACTTGTGCATATTACGTGTAAGCTGATGCTGGCAATTAGAGTTACGGCAAATTGATGCCGTTACTTGTTGTGCATGTAGGTGTGCCTTAAATGCACAATTTATTGTTTTTTTTTCCTTTTTTTTTCATTTATTTGTCATGCAAATTCAACTACCCATTTTAAATGTTCACTATTTATTTTTTTAACCCAATTATTGTATTGTATCTTCCGTTTTTCCAATTGCTTTGATTGTCGGGATTATTTGTGTAAATACCCAACTAAGTAATTGTAAAACAGTTTGTGTAAATACCCAATTGCTCCGACAACCCTAACCCGATTTGCATCATCTTCCAGACAAGGCTACTCTCTGCACCTAACACCGCTCCCCTTATCTTGCAAAACACTACCATTGTACCCACCAACTACGGGGGGCGAATCATTGCAGTTCTCCATAGCTAGTTTGTAGGATTTACAATTCTAACACATAGACAACCAGAAACAAAACCAAATCCTATCAATGTCCAACTAATTGAACTAGTATTATCACATTTGATTACATACTCATTCGAATACTTCACACTAACATCTACTACAACCATCCACACACTACAATACTCCGTAGTAATCGAATAAGATAATAATCCATAAATGTGATGAAAAACAAAAACCACAATGCAATGATGCTAAATAAAATTTTATTATATAGTTGGTATTCCACTTACCCAACAATCCAATTGCTCATATGCCGAAAACAATGGCACTCAACAATCGAGGCGATTTTCGCTTGCCGTAAAAGATGAACGTCATAAACAACGGATGAAAGAGTATGGATTTTTGAATTTACTCATAAAAGATGAACAACGTAAACAATGGATGAAAGAGTATGGATTTTTGACTTTACACAACCAAGATGAACATCATATGTGGCTCAAAACAAGCCAAATTTCCCAGACTTGCAACTTGACGGTTTTGCATGAGAGATAACGGCTGTTAGATGACTCAATTGCTGAGTAATTGCCCACAATGACGCAACTTAATATGTGGCAATTTACTGTTACAAATATTTACATCTTTGCCACAAAGATTGCTTTGATAAATTGATCATAAAGATCAATGGGGGCGTGCCCATATTTTTGTACTCAAGTATATCTCTTGTCAATGTTGTCATGCCACAAGGGCAAGGTACGATTTCATTTGAATTTTTTAAGAAAAAATTGATGCAAATCTAAGCATGGAGAACTTCAAAGATTTGCTTATCATGCATCAAGATAGCTTGTCTCTTAACATTGATTCAAGTCAAGCATTGCATGGACACTTTCTTAGATACCAAAACAAAGCTACAATTTGCTTGGTTGCGTTTCTTGGAGTCTAAACTACTTTCTTTAAGTTTCTTTACTTAGATTTTGCTTACAAGTTTTTACCTTTCACTTGAAAGGGTTTTTCTTGGTTCAAGCATTAGGATATTTAAGCTTTTAATTAGTTTCTTTAAATTAGGAATTAGTTAAATTCGTTTCTTTAATTAGTTTAATTAAGCGTGTGTTTAGGCGTGTAATTAAGAGCTTCGTGAGCAAGCTTGATTAAGATAGGATTTGGTTTGTTTTAGGAAACTAAGCAAATCTTATCCTAGGTCTAGTTAGAGTTCTAGTTAGATTAGATAACTAATCAAATCATATCTTAATTGATTAGTTATGTAAACCGTGTGTGCTAGCTTGTGGTTCAAGGCTTGCTTCCTTGTTCTCCAAGTTGGTTTAGAAGTCTAGTTTGCTTAGGATTGAATTAGGGACTTGTCCTAATCTTCCTAAGAGAGTATAGTATATAAATAGGTTTACTATCACACGAAATAATCAGATTATTATTGCATTATTTTGAGTTTTAACACTTGAGTTTTAATTGATGGATTTCAATTGTTGTTTTGCTTGTTTTAGTTAAAACATTCGTTTACGTTGATTAATTAGGTGGATTCTTAGTCAATTAATCTAGTTTCTTATTTAATTCTAAGTGGATTTTCCTGTATAGAATTAAGCTTGATTCATATCCTTGTGTGTTTTAGTTTTAGGACTAAAATTCACATCATCTTGGTATCAGAGCCAGGTTCCGGTAGAAAAAACATTGGTAACGTTTGGCTGGGAATTTTTGCGTGATTCTTTTTGCATTAGTCTCTAAAAACGTCTAGATATCACCATAAAAAATTTCGTAGCTTTTGGTTGAGTAACGGACTCTGTACAGCCTCAAACTTTTGGTGTTGTTACATTGGGTTGCGGTTGGGAGTCTGATTTTTTTTTTTTGCTTCAAGATCCCTTCAATATTTGATCTTTTAATCAAGATTTTTGCATAGACTTACTTGGTTTGTGTAGGAATAATGAGTGACGAAGAGGTTCCACAAGTTCCAAGGGGTTTAACCTTAGAACAAGCTCAAAACCTTAGGAGAGATAGACAAATCACCGAGTTGGCAGCAAGGTTGGAGGAGGTATTAAAGAGACTTGATAATCGTGATGGATCTTCTTCAAAGAGAGGTGATTCTAACCCTAACTGTAGTTCAAGTGAGGAAGAACAACCAAGGAGAGGAGGGCACGAAAGAATTATTCATCAAGTGATGATTCACCTAGACATAGGAGAAGGGATAGACCAAAAGATGATGATCGAAACCTTAGGTTAGACCTTCCCAAATTCAATGGGAGTATGAATGAACCAGAGTAATATTTTGAATGGATTTGAAGGGCCGAAACACTCTTTGATTACAAGGAGTATGATGAGAGAAAGAAGTGTAAAATTGCGGAGTTGAAGCTCACTGGTTATGCTAGTCTTTGGTATGATAATTTGATAAAGAAGAGGCATAAGGAAGGGAGTAACAAAATCACAACTTGGGAGCAACTCAAGAAGCACATGAAAAAGAGTTTCGTTCCTAGTGATTATATTCAAGATATATATCTTAAGATGCAAACTTTTAAACAAAATTCTATGACTGTTGAGAATTATATTGTTGAATTTGAGAAGTTATGCATGCTATGTGGTTTAGAAGAAATTGTTGAACATAAGATTGCTCGTTTTATTTCTGGTTTGAATGATAATATTGCTGAAAAAGTTGAATTACAATAATATTGGTCTTTTGAGGTTGTGTGTAAAGTGGCTATCAAAGTTGAAAAACAATTAAAAGGGAAGAAAAGATCATTCTCTAAACCGTTTACAAAAGGATTCTCAAAACCTTTTGAGAAAGCTAGTGTGGAAAGGGGTGGTTCTAGTTCGAATTACAAAGAATCTAAGCCTAAATTCGAAACTATCAAGAAGTTTGTGGAAGGAAGTAAGTTCTTTAAGTGTGGTAGTGTTGGTCACATTGCAAGTGATTGTCCTTCTAAAAGGGTCATGACTGCACAAGAATGGGAACAAGAGCAAGCTATGTGTGAGGAAAACTTTGAAGAAGAGGAGGAACACATGGAAGAAATTGATCCCGAGACTCAAGGTCAGAGTTTGGTCCTAAGGAGAGCACTATACTCAAAACCTATGTCTATTGAAGGCAATCAAAGGGAGAAAATCTTTCTAACAAGATGCAAAGTGAAAGATAGGTTGTGTGATATCATCATAGACATGGGAAGTTGCACCAATGTAGTGTCTACTACTTTAGTAGATAAATTAGAGTGGCCAATTACTGAGCATCCAAATCCTTACAAGCTTCATTGGCTCAATAATTCAAGTGATGTCAAGGTGGATAAACGAGCTCCAATATCCTTTTCAATTGGTAAATTTCATGACAAAGTTTTGTGTGATGTTTGCCCTATGGATGCATGTCATGTACTATTAGGCCGTCCTTTGAAATGTGATAGATTTGTGAAATTTGATGGAAGGACTAATGTTTATGTTGTGAGGAAAGGAGAAAACGAGAAGCCGGTTGCATTGAAACCTTTGATAAACAATAAACCTTCTATTTTTACCTTTGATTCGAAGAGTTCCTACTTGATTAGTGAGAGGGAAGTGGAGAAAGAAATTGGTAACAATAACATGGTGTATATACTTGTTTCTAATGAGGTCCGAATTGACAAAGAAGAACAAGGGAAGAGGCCAATTAAGTTAGAAGCAGTCTTGGAAGAGTTTCAAGATGTACTTCCTAAGGTGTTACCTCCGGGACTACCTCCTATTCGTGGGATAGAGCATCAAATTGACTTAATTCCGGGAGCACCATTGCCTAACAAAGCAGCTTATAGAAGTAATCCGGAAGAAACCAAAGAAATGCAAAGGCAAATTGAGGAACTTATGACAAGAGGTTATGTTAGGGAGAGCATGAGTCCTTGTGCCGTACCTACACTACTTGTTCCAAACACTACTAGAAAACATGCCATTTCCAACGGAAAAATTCCGTCGGAAACACCCTAAATTCCGTCGGAAAACACTGTTCTGACGGAAATTTCGTCGGAACTGGTTGTCGGAACACCCTTTGTAGGTAAAATGGCCAGTTCCGTCGGAACAGTGTTTTCCGACGGAATTTCCGTCGGAACAGTTTTTCTCGACGGAATTAATTCATCGGAAAAGGTATTCCGGCCACCGGAAAGTCCGTCGAAAAATTCCGACGGAATACAAATCCACTGGAATATTCCGACGGAAATTCCGTTGGAATCTCGTGCAAAAAAATAAAAAAAAAACACGTCGCACCACTACCGGCACGGCGTGTCACCACCTCAGACCACCAACCACCACTACATCAGACCCACCCCTAACCCACGCATAACCACCCACCCTAACCCAGACCCACCCTAACCACCCCACCCTAACCCAGACACACTACCCCATCCCCTAACCTAGACCCACCCCCCTAACCACCCCACCCTAACCCAGACACACCCTAACCACCCCACCCTAACCACCCCACCCTAACCCAGACACACCCTAACCACCCCACCCTTTTACCCAGACCCACCCAAACCACCCCACCCCTTTACCCAGACCCACCCCCACCCTTTACCCAGACCCACCCTAACCTAGGCATCCCAACCCTTACCCTAAACCCACCTAACCCAGAACCACCTTAACCCACGAATAACCACATCCACCAACCACCACCACCGTTTTACCACATCCATCAACCACCACCACCCTAACCCAGACCCACCAAACCCTAACCCTTAACCCAAACCCACCTACCAGACCCACCAAACCCCCTAACCCGAACCCATTAAACCCCCCTAACCCAAAAACCACCCACAACCGCCCACAACCACAACCATCACCAACGAAACGTGTGAATTTTTTTTTTTTTAAAAAAAAAACATACCTTAAAGGGTGAATTTTGCTTCGAATGTCACTCGAATTTGGTTTAATACGGCCAAATTCGATCATGAAACCTCTAGATCTAGAGGTTTTATGGTCAAATTTGGCCGTATTACCATGGGACGCCGGCGAGAAGGAAGAAAGGAGATGGAGAAGTGAAATGACGAGAATGGCGGTGGTGGTGTTGCGTAGCGGCGGTTGGTGGGTCTTGTTTAGCAGCGGCGGTGTGAGAAAGGAGAAGGTAAAGAGAGGAGAAGTGAGAATGGCGGAGGAGAGAGAAGGAGGGAGGAGTTCAGAGAGAAAGATAAGAGGAAAGAAGAGAGGAGAGGAGAGAGAAAGAGAAGAGAGGCGTAGAGAGAGAAGGGAGAGGAGAGAGAAAAGAGAAATGAAGGGGAGGGGTGTTCTTATTTTCTTAAGGGTTTGGGGTTTTTTAATTTTTTTTTAATAATATTCCGACAGAATTTTCTGTCGGAATCTTCTGATGGACTATAAAACCTTCGGAAATCGTAATTTCCGACGGAATTATCCGTCGGAACCTTCCGACGGATTTTATTTCCGTTGGAAATTTAAAGTTCCGACGGAATATTCCGTCGGAAAGCCTATATTTTCCTACGAAAATATATTCCGTCGGAACTTTCCTACGGAGTAAAAATTCCGTCGGAATTTCTGATTTTTCCGACAGAAATACACGTCCGTCGGAAACTCTCCGTCGGAAATCGACCTATTTCTAGTAGTGAAAGAAGGATGGAAGTTGGCGCATGTGTACTGATAGTAGGAGTGTGAATAACATCACAATCAAGTATCGTTTTCCTATTCCAAGATTGGATGACTTACTTGATGAGTTACATGGCTCGAAATTGTTCTCAAAAATTGATCTTATGAGTGGATACCAGCAAATTCGAATGGGAGAAGGAGATGAGTGGAAAACAGTATTCAAGACAAAGGTTGGATTGTATGAATGGTTGGTGATGCCATTTGGTCTTACCAATGCTCCAAGCACTTTCATGAGATTGATGAACAAGATACTCAAACTTTTCCTTGGTAAATTTGTGGTTGTTTACTTAGATGATATTTTAATTTACTCTAAAAATTTGAATGATCATCTAAACCATCTTAGAAGTGTGTTTGAAGTATTGAGGGAAAATAAACTCTATGCTAAGCTTGAAAAAATGCTATTTCTTAGTGCCTAGTGTTACTTTTCTTGGTTATGTCGTGTCTAAGGATGGAGTTTCAGTGGATAAGTCAGAGGTGGAAGCTATTAGAACTTGGCATATTCCAACTAATGTTAGTGAAGTAAGATCTTTTCATGATTTAGCTTCATTTTATAGAAGATTTGTGAAGAATTTCTCTAGTGTTGTGGCACCTATGACCGAATGTTTGAAGAAAGAAAGGGTAAATTCAAGTGGACTAAAGAGGCTCAAAGTGCATTTGAGTTGATTAAAAAGAAGCTTTGTGAAGCTCCTATACTTGCTTTACCTGATTTTACAATGCCTTTTGAGGTTGAAACCGATGCAAGTGGTGTTGGGATTGGAGCGGCGGTTTTGTTACAAAAGAAGCGTCCTATAGCTTATTTTAGTGAGAAATTGAATGGAGCTCGTTTGAATTATTCTACTTTTGATAAAGAATTCTATGCTATTGTGAGAGCTTTAGATCATTGGAGTCATTATTTAAGGCCTAATCACTTATGATAAAGAAAAATAAATGTTACTCCGTACTACTATTAGAATTGTATGGAATATACATTTTTTTGTACTCAAGTATATCTCTTGTCAATGTTGTCATGCCACAAGGGCAAGGTACGATTTCATTTGAATTTTTTAAGAAAAAATTGATGCAAATCTAAGCATGGAGAACTTCAAAGATTTGCTTATCATGCATCAAGATAGCTTGTCTCTTAACATTGATTCAAGTCAAGCATTGCATGGACACTTTCTTAGATACCAAAACAAAGCTACAGTTTGCTTGGTTGCGTTTCTTGGAGTCTAAACTACTTTCTTTAAGTTTCTTTACTTAGATTTTGCTTACAAGTTTTTACCTTTCACTTGAAAGGGTTTTTCTTGGTTCAAGCATTAGGATATTTAAGCTTTTAATTAGTTTCTTTAAATTAGGAATTAGTTAAATTCGTTTCTTTAATTAGTTTAATTAAGCGTGTGTTTAGGCGTGTAATTAAGAGCTTCGTGAGCAAGCTTGATTAAGATAGGATTTGGTTTGTTTTAGGAAACTAAGCAAATCTTATCCTAGGTCTAGTTAGAGTTCTAGTTAGATTAGATAACTAATCAAATCATATCTTAATTGATTAGTTATGTAAACCGTGTGTGCTAGCTTGTGGTTCAAGGCTTGCTTCCTTGTTCTCCAAGTTGGTTTAGAAGTCTAGTTTGCTTAGGATTGAATTAGGGACTTGTCCTAATCTTCCTAAGAGAGTATAGTATATAAATAGGTTTATTAATTATTATCACACGAAATAATCAGATTATTATTGCATTATTTTGAGTTTTAACACTTGAGTTTTAATTGATGGATTTCAATTGCTGTTTTGCTTGTTTTAGTTAAAACATTCGTTTAGGTTGATTAATTAGGTGGATTCTTAGTTAATTAATCTGGTTTCTTGTTTAATTTTAGGTGGATTTTCATGTATAGAATTAAGCTTGATTCATATCCTTGTGTGTTTTAGTTTTAGGACTAAAATTCACATAAAAAATATGATCAACTTTAAACTCATTTAATTTAGAATGTGACCAATACTCGGGCACTCATTGCATTATACACTATTGAGATATAAGAAGTATGTACCTGAGCCAATGTGAAAGGTAAAGCTGAGTACATTCTAGCTGCTTTCTCACGGTAAAATATTGCTCTCTCACTTGCAACCACAGCTTGAACATTCAAAGCGCTAGTCCCTCCGAGGAAAAGTATTGTAGAGAACATTATCTCAAACAAGTTCATCAAATCTTGTTGTTTGGCTCTGTTGACAAATTTTTAAACTAGTTGATAAATTGATCTAGAAAATATTAAATATCTAACAAATACAAAGATTATATAGTGAAATATTGATTCACTAATTCATAAGAGATAGAGACAGTTTCACAATTGCAATTGTATGGGCACTATATTTCATTTGGCTTATGAAAACGTATGAAACATAAACTAACAAGTCTATGAAAAGTTTGATTATAATGAAAATTACTCCATCCATTGATAGACGATATTTGATGCATGTTACATGCATGATGCATATGATTGATAAATTAAGGCCTTATTAGTAGGTTAAGTTATAGCTGATTATTGGATTAAGGCAGGGTAAACCTATGTGCGATAATCAAACGTTTTAAGCACACCTCACAAATTCTCCCCTTGGCCCAAGGGCCCAACCCACATATATACTAGATGATTTTATAGTGATATAAAGTGGTTTTATTTTAAAATTTATACTCACAATAAGATGATTTTATGCCAACAATAAGTCTCCTCTAACAAATTTTCACATCACTTTTTTATTACATTAGTTATAGTGAAGTATGTGAATAGTGTACAAAATCAAACCGCGACACAGGGAGTACATGATGATGAAAACGTAGAAACAAAAAACATACGATAGGACTAACCACAATAACACTAGATCGATAATTAACAACTTCCTTAATATTTTATTCAAAATGCAATTAACATTTTTTCATGTATAATTTTTGTTTAAGTGATTGAGCATAGTTGTTAAAAAAAAAAAAAAGGTGATTAAGCATAGCAATGATCAAATTAATATTATCCTAATTATAAAGCATTATAACCTGTACTTACAATTTACTTCCCTTGTTCCAGAATATAACGCCAAGTAGAGCACCAATAAGTGTTGTGGTGAAGAATCGAACAGCATTGTAAGGTGGATTCTTCCAATACGATTTGTATTGTTTCCAAAAACATGCTTTAAGTTGAACACTGAATGGCTGCGAGTATTTGGTTGGGAATTGAAGATCCTCATTATTTGGCGAAGGATTATTTAGCTCTCTAATTATTTCTTGATTTCTCCTACCAAAAATGCATTCCAAGAACATATATACGAGTAATTAATTACTTAAGTTACACAAAAAAAAAAAAAAATGATAAATACAGCAAAAGGACAATATATAAAATGCTAAAAGTGAAACTAATAAATGAAATAAAATGTTGATTGCACAGACCATCACGTGATTATGCTATGTATTTCTAAGTTAATACGGAATACTAATTAATCACATACCGATAAAGTTGAGAGTTGACATAAATTTCGGCGAAATCCAAACCCATTTGAGACTCTACTTGAGTACTTGTAATGTCAAGCATCCATGTAGCAGGATTGTAACTATCCTTAATTTTTGGAACTCCGGGAATGGCCTTCAATATATGAGACCATATAAGTGTTTTGATTCACTAAAAGTGACTAAAAATTTTGTTACTTATGAACAAAAGTAAACAATAATGAACTAGTCAAGATGTTGCAAATTATTTTTTTTTTCCATCAAAAATCTATCACCTACCTCAAAATATTCAATAAGCTTTGAGGAGTGGTCACCAAGGGGCCCGGCATATATGAGACGCCCTCCTCTCTTTATCAATAGAAGCTGTAAAGTGCAAAACAGTAATGAACTGCATAATTATTTGGAACTTAATATTTACTAGTTACTTATTTTTTTTTTTTGGGTGTTAGAGAACCACAAGGGCGGAAGATGAGAATCGATCCTAGGATCTCCTAGAATCGGAAAGAAAACTCAAGTACTTGAGCTATCTTTCACTCTCATGTTTACTAGTTAGACCCTGTTTTATTCGTTTTAAAAAAAATTGTACAAGTCTTGATTTGTATGAAGATGAGATATTCACTAAAATAAGTCCCATTCAATATTATTCTTAGTAAACTGCAAATATTAATTTAAATGGAAAAATTAAAAAGAATAATCCCACCTTTAACCCTCATATTCTCAAAACAGTCCTTTAACCTGTTACTTAAGTTGGTGACCAGTTATAGGGGGTCTTATGCTACGTGTCAATATTTGATTGGTTTTTTTAATAATTAATATTAAAACCAAAAAAAATTTAAAAAAAAAAAAAAAAAAAAATCAGCCCTCTCCCTTTCTTCTCTATTCCCCACCTGAACTAGCCTCACCGGCTTACCCCATTCTCGTTCACCGGCGCCAATCATACGCATTCCCACTGTATAAAGTTGGAAGCAGAAATAATTACTACCGCTGTAGTAATTGAATTAACGTAAGAAAGCTTGGTCATTCAAACTGAACTTCAAATTCAACGACGAGACGACGGCGGAACATTAGGATCCTTAATTTTCAACAAATTCGGATCAATTTTCCGAGTCAAATTGTTGCACCTGTGATTTCTGAGTGATTTAATTCGGAATTTTCAATTGAACTGATGAATTCATAGAAAAAAGTGTTTGTAAATTGCGACGATTGGAGGAATAAATGAAGTGAACTGATGGGGAAGAAGGAGAGAGATAGTGGGGGTGGAAAGATTTAGAGGTAGTTGTAATGGAGGTAGTTGTGTGTCTTTTCTAAGACCTGTGAAGTACTGCCATGGCGGACTGGTTTTTGCAGCAAGACGTCATGATAATGGTAATGAAAGCTTTGTGATAGTGATTAACTCAGGGGAGCTACGAGAGTTACTCAGTTACTTCACTTGTGTGGGTGGTGTCCATTGAAGGTGGTGGTTATGTTGTTTTTTAAAACAAAAAATTTGAAAAAAAAAAAAGAAACTGTTAAACAGGTTATAGGTAAATAAGACTGTTTTGAAAAGATGGAGCATATAGGTGGAATTGTTTATATAATATTTAAAGGTGGGATTATTTTGAGAAGAAGTAACAGGAGGGATTATTCTTTTCCATTTTTTGATTAAAGCTGTAAAAAAATAATTCAATTAATTAAAAATCAAATAAAGCTTTTCCCAAAAAAATTAAAAAAAAAAAAATCAAGTAAAGCTAAGAGAACATGACATAATGTTGTACTTGAGAAAAACTTGTTAAAGTTTACATACCTCGTCAAAAGCCTCAAATATAACTATGCTCGGCTGATGAATTGTACATACAACAGTTCTACCATTGTTTACAACATTTCTCATAGTACGCATGACAATAGCAGCAGCTCTTGCATCAAGTCCGGATGTTGGCTCATCCATAAACATAATCGATGGATTTGCAACTAGCTCTACTGCAATAGTTAATCTCTTTCTTTGTTCAGCTGAAAGCCCACTTATCCTCGTAAGGCCAACAATAGCATCCTTTAATGGTTCAAGCTCAACTAATCTCATTACTTCTTCGATAAACATCTATCGATTCACAATAAAAATAATATTAATGTAATTACATCAAAAATGAAATTAAATCTAATAGTCTTGGGCAAAATTAAATACAGCATGAAACAAACCATTCGTGTATTTACGTCGATATTTGAAGAAAGACGGAGCCAAGCAGAGAATACAAGAGATTCATAAACAGTTATACATGGTGAATGGATGTCGTTTTGTTCACAATAACCACATATCCTTGCAAATGTCTCTTGATTCTTAGGATAACCTGATACAGTGATGCTATCTTCAATATACCCACTAGTCTTTTTTCCGGCCAACACATCTAATAGTGTTGTTTTTCCGGCACCAGTTATGCCCAATAGCGCGGTTAATACTCCAGGGCGAAAAGCACCACTCACATCTTGTAATAGTTGCAGTCGATACCTTTCATCATAACCTTGACCTTTCATTTCCTGGAGTGAAGAATTTTAAATTTTAATGACCTTTTTTCACATGAAATCATTTCATCACATTTTTTTTCATTACTGCTTTTACCATATATACCAAAGAATTAAAGCAGCTATTAAGGCTATCACAATTCACAATTGTACAACTTTTCCTCTTGAAAGCTAAAAAATTCTCGTAACCATGATGACTAGAAAGTTAAAACAATAGAAATCAATTTAAATCAGTAACAAGTTTCTGAAAAAAATATATAAGCGGAAAATCCAAGTTAATCTTGTTTATTGCTAAACTTTGTCAATCTAAGGGCAGTTTCGGTATTTCATCCTATTAAGTTGAGGATACCATTGTAAAATCCGTCTCATGAGTTGGACAACAACCCTTGACTGAGCATCCACATAAGAGCACGGATTGCCGGTTGGAGTTCACGCCATTTAACAACCGTTTGTTAACGACAGACTAGGGTTTGAAAAACTCCACCATAATCTTTCTGTCTCCTTTGTCTAACTCAAGTTTGAAAACACCCCTCCAAAACTCTGAATTCATTTTTGCAACATATTTCACTAATTTTGAACACACAATTCAGAATGGGAGAATATGATTTGGGAAAATAATGAAGACAACGAAGGGGAAATTAACGAAGGGGAAATTTTGCTTGAAGTGCTAAAGTATCAGACTTGGTTGGGAAGAAATAAGAGTCAAAGACCTAACTTTGAATGGTCTATAAACTACCACCTACCAACAATAAATGCATAGCTAATATTCATCTTCAGCCGTAAAGTAACAGCCCCACTAAATAACGACTAAGGTGATTATAAGCAGCGCCGTTTAATAACATTTTGCCTACGTGTAGCATTATACTTTAAGCTGTCAAAAGCTGACCTGATCCGAAATACCGATTCGAACCCGATTATTAACCGATCCGTCTAAATTGGAAAAATGATGACCCGAACCCAATATGACCCGACCTGAAACCAACCCTAGACCCGAGTTAACCCGAGTATTTGAGACCCGAACCCGAACATGAACCGAGTTGGAGATGACCCGACCCGAATATAAACCGTATAATTTTGACTTGAACCGAATCCGACTTGAATCGAAATTGACCCAAACCCGTTTTAACCTGTCAAAACCCGAATTTAACCCGACTGGAATTCAACCTGACTTATTCCTAACCTGACCCGAATTTAACCCGACATATTACTAACCCGACCCGAATTTAACCCGACCTATTACTAACCCGACCCGAACTTCAACCCGATCTGTCACTAACCCGACCCGAAATCAACCCGACTTGTTATTGACCCGACTCAAATTCAACCCGATTTGTTATTGACCTGACCTGAAATCAACTCGACTTGTTATTTTATACATCTTTATTATTGTATATTAGATACTGAAATAAAGATATACGTTATATATATTCTAAGCTACTCGTTATGTCGAAACTTCGTAAGGCTAAAACTACTCTATGTTAATATTGATCAAAGTATTTTGTCTTGGATGTAGGGAGACCAAGTTGATCCAACAAAAGAAAGAAGCATCATCCCCAAATTTAGGTGTTAAAATTCAAACCTGAAAATTGGACCGATTACTCACTCCTTGACGCCTTGTTGAAGGTACAATATTGGAGTGAGAATTTGAGATTGAGAGTGGGATTGTGTGAGTCTGGGAGAGGCCGAGCAGTGGTGAATTATAGCCATGGGTGGATCTCTGAATTTTAGAATATTAGGAAAGCTAGACTCTAATGGCGGCAATGGCGAGATTTGCGACTGAGAATTTTAGTACTAGACTCTAATGAAGGTAGAATATGGGAGTGAGAATTTGAGATTGAGAGTGAATCACTGATGATTGAATTGAACGTGATAATGACTCCAATAATGCTCCCCTTATCACTCTTCTTTTTTTTTATTTTTTATTTTATTTTATTTTGTTAGCTAATTAAGTCATAAAGTATTAAAGTATTACATTTTTCTCCAAATAACTAGCAATTTAGGATTACGTCATATCTTTTTTTTTTCCCTAATTCTATGAGTTATTTTCCTATCTAAGCTTATTCAAATATTTTCAATAAAATTCTTTATTATCAAATGTATTACAATTTATATGTCTCAAAAAAACCTATAAAAATTTATGAATACCACTACTTTTTGGATGCATTTGCATTCTTTATTTAAATTTAGTAATTACGATTTATGAATACTACTACTTTTTAGGTGCAAGTTCATTCTATATTTCAATTAAACAATTATGGTTTACGAATACTACTACTTTGTAGGTGCATGTGCATTAATGTAGTCAATTACGGTTTACAAATACTATTTGACCTTAGGCTTGTTTGTTTTATCTTATATTTTATAAAAAAAAAAAAAATTAATTTCAAATAAAAAAAAGCTAAAAAAAATAATAATTTCGGATAATGATTGAATTGAACATGATAATGATGAATGCGAGCATGAGTATATGACAATGACCCGATGATAATTTGACCCAAATAATTTACCTGTACCTGATCATGAATTGACTTGTTTGGACTCGAGAAAGTAGTGACCCGAACAAGAGTTGTTAAAAGGCTTTTATTGGTCTTTTATTTGCCTAATTTTATTATTTTGCCTATTTAATCTTATTTAAATGTTTTGAATAATGCCATTTAAATGTTTAAAAAAAATGCCATTAAAAAAAAGTGAACTCAGATATGAACTTATAAAAAATAAACAAGTTTAGATAATTTCAAATAAAATAAGTTTAGAAAAAAAATTGTTGTATTTTAACTTATCTAAACTAAACCTATTTTATCCGAATTTATATGAACTTATTGTATTTTATCTAAACATGTCATCTCGAATTATGAACTTATCTGAAATTGTTATCCCTAAATGAGTGGAATCGATGCGAATAGATTAGAATAGGGTTTGAACTTATCATCTAAAAATCTAAACTAAACCTATCTTATCTAAACTTATTAGAACTTATTACGTCGAATTTAAACTTATCTGAAATTATTTCTCTTACAATAAATGAAGTAATTGATAATGAGTAAACGTGAATGTCATTACATGAACTGTTAACAAACCGACTCAAAAAATGTACCCGAACTGAAATCAACCTGATACCCAGATTAACCCAATATTTGAGACCCGAATCCGAACATGACTTGACTTGGAAATGATCCGACCTAATTATAACCTGCAATTTTTTGACTTGAACCAAACCCGACTTGAACCCGAACATGACCCAACTTGATTGTAACACACAAATAATCGACTTGAACCGAACTCGACTTGAACCCGGGAATGACCTGATGACTCGAGTTGGAAATGACCCGACCTGATTACAACCCGCAAATTATTGACTTGAACTGAACCCGACTCAAACCCGAGAATGACCTGACCTGATTATAACCCGCAAATTATTGACTTGAACCGAACCCGACTCGAACCTGAAAATGACCCTAACCCGTGAAAACCCGAATTAAACTCGACCTATTATTCACCCGACCCGAATGTAACCTGACCTGTTATTAACCCGACCTAAACCCGACCCAAACCCGAAAAGATGTATGACCTGACGTTACCCGACTCAAGCATGACCCAACCCAAACCCGACCCGTATAAGTTATGACATTAACCCAAAATGACCCAATCCGAGTTGACCTGAACCATACTTACCCGACCCAAACCCGACCTGTTTACCCGAATTGACAGCTCTAGTTATATTCCCAACTCTCCTACTGACTTGGCATGCTCGAACTCCAAATTTTGACATGGCATCAAAGATTAACAAAGTTCAGCAATTAAGAAGATTAACTGGCACTACTAGAAATAGGCCGATTTCCAACGGACACGTATTTTCGTCGGAAAAATCAGAAATTCCGACGGATTTTTCCATTGGAACAATAAATTTCCGACGGAATTTCCCTCTGAATCTAATTTTAAAAAAAAAACCAAACCATACCAAACCCTAAATCAGCTAAACCCTCCCTCGCTTCATTCATTCCGCCTCTTCTTTCCCCTTTCTTCTTCTCTTTCTCTTTCATCTCCTCTCCTCTTCTCTTCCTCTTCTTCTCTGTCTTTCCTCTTCTCTCTCCTCTCCTTTCCTTTCGTTCTCCTTCTCTCTCCTCTTCTCTTTGTTTCTCGTTCTTTTTCATCTTTTCTTTTTTTCTCTCTTCTCCTTCTCTTTTTTCTCTACTCTTTCATCTTCTAACCACTACCAGTGAAACTATTATCAGCAACAACCACCAACAACTGTTCTCCACCAACATGCGGGCAGAGCTTCACCGGAATTTTTGAGAAATTGAGATCCAGAACCGAGCAACCGGAATTTGAAGAACATTTTTTTGAATTTTTTAGTTTTCTTTTTTCTTTTTTTTTTTTTTTTCTGATTTTGATTTTAGATTTGTAGGTCTAGTTTCTGTTTTTTCGCTTTTTTTTCGAATTTTGATTTTTCTGCTTTTGTATTATTCAATTTGTATAGTAGATCTGTTTTTGTTCAATTTGTATAATAGATCTTTTTTTTTATTTGTATATTTAATTTTTTTGTACTTTGTATATTAGATTTGTTCAATTTTCCTCTCATCCTCTCATCATCTCATCTTTTTTTTATGAATTTTTTTCGTTTTTTTATTCTGGGTGGGGGTGGTCTGGGTGGTGTGGTGGTGGCCCAGAATCTGGTTTAGGTGGGTTTTGGGCGTCTAATGGGGTCAAGGGTTTGGGTTAGGGTTTGGATGTTTTAGGTGGGTGGGTGGATCTGGGTATGGGTTTGGACGTTTGGTGGGGTTTGGGTTAGGGTGTTTTAGGTGGGTGGATCTGGGTATGGGTTTGGTGGGGTTTTGGTTAAGGTTCGGTGAGGGTTTGTGTTAGGTGGGACTGGTTATATGGTTCAGTGGTGGTGAATGGCGCCGGGTGATCTGGGCTTAGGGTTAGGGTTAGTTAGGGGGTGGTGGAGTGGTGGTGGTCTGATGTGGGGGGTAGTGGCGGTGGTGGTCTAATGTTGGGGTTAGGGTTAGTTAGGGGTTGGTGGTGGTGATACGCCGTGCTGGTGGTGGAGCGCGTGTTTTTTTTTTAATTTCATTAAATCAGCTTCCGACGAAACTCCCGTCAAAATTTTCCGGCGGATTTGTGTCCGTCGAAAATTTCCGACGGACTTTTCCGGTGCCGGAATTCCTCTTCCGATGGAATTTCCTTCGGAAAGGTGTTTCTGACGGAATTTCTGCCGGATAATGTCTTTTTTTCCTACAAAAGGTTCTCCGACAACCGGTTTCGACGGAAATTCCGTCGAAAACGGGTTTTCCGACGGAATTCAGGGTGATTCCGACAGAATTTTTCCGTCGAAAATGGCCTGTTTTCTAATAGTGTGGGCAGCCTCATATACAAGTTTATTAAAATTGGTTAACCATCGGTGAATGTGATATCGATGGTTTTTGACATATTTACCGATGGATTTTGACCATTAGTATTTGGCTCGATTCTTGTAATGACTACACAATGAATAATTATTAGCCACAAAAGTAAATGTTTAGAAGATTAGAGATTTACTGTTGGCGCATCCACGTAATAATTGATGTGGTGGAATGATAACGAAAGTGGCTGGAATGGCAAATACATTCCTTTGGTCGTGGTCTCCACTGTAGGATTCGTACATGTAGATGAATGACTTGATACGACGGAATTTGTGCTTTGAAGTTCCTCATCATTTTTCTTTTGGCCTTTATCTACATCTTCAACTAAGGCTTTTGAATCACTAAAAGCTGGAAAATCAAATAGCACAAATAATATTGTCAAATAATTTGTGATTTTAAAGCCAAATGAAAAAAACAGAAGACATTAATCACGTAAGATTTAAGAATGTTAATGATAGGATGTATAAAATGTTGTTGATAAGAGTAAATCCAAGCAATGCTCCAATACTTATCCAAAACCAATATTGATGATTCGAAAGGCCTCTTGATGCAAGAATGACATTACCAATAGTTGTTTCAATAATCCTAGGATCTGTATTAGGCTATAACAATACAAACATAATTAGCAACTGAAACATTATTCGACATAAATTGCTAGAAGAGGGAAGTATAGGTGGGAGAGTAGATCACGAACTTACATTACTCCATCTGTTGTCAAGAAATTCGTTAATGACTAAAGCTTGTTGTCCATACATCATAGGTGAAAGGTAGTAAGCCCATATCATCCATCGACCAACATCCCCTATATGTGTGGAAATATCCATAATTTATGAGAAATAAATTGATCAAAACCTTATTAACATCAAAATAAGGACTTAAAAATAGAATATTTTATTTTATTTTATTAGCTATCAATCAGTAAGTTCAAAACATACCTTTTGCAATGATAAAACCACTAAGGACGAAAGCAAGTATCAATACAATCATGCCAATTGTGTTAGCAATTACTAGTGTTCTCCCCAAAGCACTAAGAAATCTAAAGATTGATAACGCCATTTGATGGATACAAAAGAAAGCAAGCCATTGGCAGAAAAACCTGATAACAAATCATAATTTTCATACAAGTATCAATGAGATTGTTCACAAAACAAAGAGGAAAATAACGCGCATAATTTCAAATAAGTTTTCTGACGCATAATTTGATGAACACAACTCATATAACAAGGACTTACCTAGTGGGAGCCGGAGCATAACCAATGGTATAATATGTAAGAATAGTCCATAATCCGGATTCGATGAAGGAAGCAGGGATACTAAGAATCCAAACAGGTAGCCCATAAGGCCATGCAGGGTAAAACAATAAATCTCTTTGTTTATAAAACGCCGGAAGTCCCAAAATTGTAAAAGTACATTCTGCCATTCCATTCAACACTACATTTGTGAGACTGAAAAATATAACTCCTAAATATTTCTCACCATCAGCCACAGTTTCGTGGTGCATTTTGGTCCTAAAGAATGCACTCATCGTAGCCAAAGCCATAATCATAACCTGGACATTTTTAAAGATGTAGAGGATTACATTTCGCTTCATTAGCAACCATTCCCTTGAAAAACATGCCTTAATTAGCTCTTTGTTTGAGATACCATACTTTTCTTTTACCAAGGCTAAAGGGTGATTATTAGATCTTTGGTATAGTATCTTAAGACTTGATGATAACTCTTTCCCAACATGGAAAGATTGGAAAGCTTCAACTAGTTCGGAAACTGGAATGTATCTATATGGTTGATCCTTAGACCAGTATTGTTGTTGGTCTTTTTTAGATGTAACTTCTTGAAGAAAATCTGCCACTCCTTTCCTTTCTGGGCATTTGAAGCCAACATATTCAAAGAAATCAAGGACATGGTGACGCGGTCCTTGATAGACTATTTGACCATCTGAGAGGAGAATAATATCATCAAAAAGTTCAAATAATTCAGGACTAGGTTGCAACAAAGAGATGACTACTGTCATGTCCATAATGTTAACCATTTCACTTATATACTTGCATATCCGAAAAGCTGTTGAGCTATCTAATCCAGTTGATATTTCATCCATTAACAACACTTTTGCAGGTCCTGCTAACATTTCACCTACATTAATAACCAAAAATTATACATAAGGTCATATTGTTGAAGTAAGTTACATATTTGAAGATTTCTATTTCTCTTTACATTGAATTTATTACCAATTGTAAGACGCTTCTTTTCACCACCCGAAATACCTCTTCTCATATTATCACCCACAATGGTATCAGCACAATTATCCAAGCTAAGTACCTGTCAAATCTAATTATTTCAATGTTAAACCTGTTTATAAAAAGCTAATATATATGTTAATGATCAACTAAAAAGATCATCACCGACCTTGAGCAAATATTCAGTCACAAGGGATGCTTCATGGCCTTTGGTAGCCACGCCTTTCATCAATGCTTCAATCTTAGGATCGAGCTTGAAGAGTAGTTTTTCCATAAGCTTATATATAGTTCCTACTCCTAAGCATTGTCCGGAAAAGTCTAACGTCTCTCTTACTGTCATCAATCCGTGGTGAAGATCCCTTTGACTAACATATGCACAAGTCTTCTTAGGAACAAATTCATTTAGTTCATGGCCACAATACGTTATTTTTCCAGTTACCTATTCCACATCAATTATAGAAAAGGAAAGAAGAGAAATAATAAAACCATTAGGAAACATACGTCCAAACATCTAGTACATATTTTTTTAAAAAAAAAAGGGACATGATACCGTGATTTATATGTACTTCCTCCATTTCTTTTTAGTTGCATGATGTAACTTGCATCACTTCAAAAGTTATGGACTTCTAAGCAATTTTTTGAGATGAGAGATATAGAGAGAAAGAAAACTAGACCCGTGTGATAGGAGAGTGATAGAGAGACTTTATTAATTAAAAAGGAAAATGATGCACTAACTTAATTTGAAACTTCATTTTTTAGAAAGTGATTTATTTAAAACAACGGAGAAAGTACTATATTTTGTATATATTATTGTTGGTTCTTATAAGTATTATTATCACTATTCAACCCAATTAGCATCAATGGAATAAGATTAAATCACCTTTAAATAACTTTGATCAAGCATTCCTGCAAGAGCTAAAAGAAATGTTGTTTTTCCTGAACTTGGAGGCCCCAAGAGTAATGTCATCCTAACAATGTGCACATCAAATAAACAATTGCATCAATATATAGACGTCTAAGATAAATTCTAATCCATTAATGTTACTTGTTTAATTTTTTTTTTTTAGAGAGCCACAAGGACAAGTGATGAGAATCGATCCCAACATCTCTTGAAATCGAGAGGGGAGCTCTAACAACTTGAGCTATCCCTCACTCTCATGTTACTTGTTTAATTTAACTTTTCCTTAATTTTTATTATTACAATTTGACTTTTACAATATGGATATAAAATTTTTATCTATATGCTATTATTAGTATAATAAACCAAATATTACATAAAATCTTATTAGGATAGTCACAATGTATATTTTCCTAATAAAAAATTGTTATGAGTATAATTTAAACTAATATAAGATTAAATATATTTTTTCGATTAAGATGTGTGTTTACAAAAATGTAAGTCAAACTATTAGAAAATTGCACTTCAACGAAATTAAGCACGCACGTACTATACACTTTTTAGAATAACACAATAGGAAGGAGAAGAGACGACGAATGAGAAGTGTGACTACATGATACTCTTTGATTTGAAAGAGTCAAAGTACGAAGTATATGATAGATTTATACCGAGAGGGTCTAATAATGCCGTTGACATCGTCGAGGATCTTGAGTTTTTGCTTTTGAGAAGGGGGCAATCGTATTACCTTCTTCAGAATTGCCTGCCATCAACAAAAATTCAAAATTGGCTAAAATTATAAAAATTGCACAAATTTTTATTAACATGAATATCTTTACTTCCATTAGAAACCTATCAATTTAAATAAAATTCCTGTCCAAAAAAAAATAAAAAAATACACTTCAAGATATATTTTTTTTTAAATAGCAAAAATATTTCATTAATTAAAAGTCATACGACATCTACAATAGAGATCCGACGTTAACAAGTACATAAGATATTGAATCAAATAAAATTTTCCCTCACAAAAACTACGATCGTCGAGTAGATCTTGCATTGCGGAACATCTCCCGCTTATATCGCTAGAAAATGTAGCCTTGTTGGAGAGACAATCTAACGATCCTTTGTAGCCGTGAGGGTGTTTTCCTTCTGATTCATATGTCTGTATTCGAAAACTTGATAACTTTTTCATCAACGAAATAATTTCACAATAATCCATTAGATCTAATATCATTGATTTAAAAATAAGAAAATTCTCTCCCGAAAAGAGGAGATAAACCTTGTCTTTAATTTGAAGGAGGTCGAAAAACCCTTGTCTTTAGAAAGAGATCGGAAACCCTTTCTTTCGAGGGAGAAAAATTCCTCCCAAAAGGAGGAAGCATTATTATAAACCTAAAAAAACTTTACAGAAACAAGGATTGAGGCTTTCCACCGGTTAAATCCGATGAAAGTCCCTTCAAAATTCAACAATGGAGGCTAGGGTTTTGGAGAGAGGAAGGAGGAGAGAGGAGAGGATTTTTTAGGTCAAATCATATACTTTGCTGTGATTGACTTGTTTACTTCAAGATATATATTATATCACATTTAATTTGTTTTTTAAATAAGACAATTTTGCAATGACTACAATATTTTTGTAGCCATTGCAATTATTATATCTTGGTCGTACATTTGTTAGTATAAATTTCATGTCATTTCTTAAGTTGATTTAAAACTTTTTTTTTTAATTACATAGTAAATATGTGGGTTTCTCTTTTTCAAAACCAACAATTGCAATACCCCCTTCTTCTCTATAGACTCGAATCCTCATAATACTCTAAAATTAAAACTTTACTAGAGTGTACCCGTGCAAAATACACGAGATATATATTTTACAGAAAGATATTTAAAAAAGTCTAATAACACAATTATATTTCAAATTTGGGAGGTTGATTTTGATATAGTAACTCTTATATGTGGCTTGCCATATTGTGTAATAAACTATTATGGAAGTTATTTTTGTCAGTGTTATAGGGGTTACCCGTTCAACGTTACAGAGGTTACCTCGTTAGTGTTATAAGGGTTACACTTTCAGAGTTATAGGGGGTTACCCAATTAGTGTTATGAGGACTACTTTGTTCTTTTGCAAGCAGTCACATTGGTGGCTTGTCGCACAAAAAAACATGTTGTATATTTTTTTTTGGTTGATGATTATTGAATTAATAATAAGGTAGTTGTTCAATGATTTTTAAAAATATTTGTTAGTGTTATGGGGTAGCTTTGTTCTTTTGCAAGTAGCCACACATTGTAGCTAGTCGCATAGAAAACATGATGTATATATATATTTTTTTGTTTTGATGATTATTGAATTAATAATAGGGTATTTATTAAATGATTTTATAAAATATAAAAAAAAAAATTGGAAGAATTTTTTAAAAGAAAAATAGTGGAAATTATGGTGGCGATATTATATTTTTAAAAAAAAATGAAGTGTACATAAATTAATGATGAGTTTTCAAGCGTTGTGCTGAAAAAGTTTGAAAAAAATATGCAACAATAATATGAATTCCTTGTAATATTGTGGATCCTAAAAAGAAATTTATTGGATAATATAATAAAATAGGTAGTTTTTTGGGCTAGTATGTGTGTTATTAGGAAAAATAATGATGGAAGTTATTTGGAGGATTATTTTTTATAGAGGTGGAAGTTATTTGGAGGTCGCGCATCATCTCCTCTACACCTTTCTTCCTTTTTGTGATTGAATGCTACAATGAATTTATCAGATGCTATTTGATTATAATTGATTTAATCGAACTCCTAACGACCTAACGTTATATGCAAAGTATTATGTGTATGGAAATTAAATTCCAATTTCTCATCAAAACCACCTGTAAATATTGGTATTACTATTCGTCAATGGAGAAGCATTTATTATGTACATCAATGGAGAGCAATTTTTGTTAACATTAATTTTTCTTAAAGAAAGTCATTAGAATGGGAGGTCTATTGTGTCATTTTTCAAAAAATAGGCACCATAACATGATGATGTGTCATGTTATGATTGATCAATTTTTGATTCATTTTTAAAAGCCTTAATGTACTATACATGTATGTATAATTGTAAATACATGTATTTTTTAAATAATACGTGATTATAGTATTTTAAAATCTATTTTTATCTTTTTAAAATTATTTTCAAAAATTAAATTATAATTAAAATTTAGAAAATAAAAAATTCATCATTGTTCTTCATTCATGACCTTAATTAACCACCCAAAAATCTTGTATAATCTATTCGGAACTCAGACCAAAAAGTTCCATCCAAAGATCGAATTTGTTGGGTTTCGAATCTGCTTCCATGATTTGTATACAAATTTCGTTTTAGAGTTTGATTGATGATTTTGATTTATGTAAAAATCAAGTTGTTAAATAGTTTTGAGGATGAAAATAGCCTTAGGAGCGTGTATTATGATGATCTAAAACACAAATCTTTCAATTGTTCAACAATCAATGGATAACGAGGGTGAGCTCTGCAATTTAGAGTTCATTTTTTTTCCGCAAACTTGTTTGATCCAGAATCGAGATCTGCGATTTTTGTAATCCGTTTATTTGTGGTTAGCTAATTACCTTTATATAGTTCGGTCATTACCAAACATAGTTTAAGTCATTACCTGATCCAGTAAAAATTTGAGAAAACTTAATTACATTTATCAGATCAAACAGGGGTTGCGAACATAAAAAAAATGCGACCACTTCCTCTTCTACAAACTTGATACTCCTTGTTCTTTGAAAAAATTGCCCAATTTGAGACCACATAAATCATATTTTTGAACCATTCAAAGCGGAATTCTTCCTTTGCAAATACTTATAAATGAGATTGTTATTGAGATTTTTTTATGAACAAAAACCTAAAATAAAAAACTAGGCCTATTCACGGATCAGATATTCGAATACTTGGAGGATATTGATATTGGATATCCAAAATTTTCGAATCGGATGCTTCGGATATCCATTATCCAATACTAAGTAAAGTTGTTTATGATTACTTTCTAAATTTCACTAATTTTACCGCTTTTTTATCGTTAACTTGTACAACATATTTTAACAAAATAGTAGTCCTTTTGCAATAAATATTATCATCAAATATATTAAGAATATTATAATAAGTTAATAATACAAGGCCAGTTTTATATGAACAGTTTTAAAATTTTATATATGTTTCACTATTTTGGGCTTTATATTTCGGATATCGGATATCCGAAATTTTTAAAATCAATATCCAAATCCTCATTCCATATCCACTTTTTTAGATCGGATATCCAAAAGTTTGGATCGGTTGCGAATCTGATTATCGGATAGTTTTGTATAGACCTATCAAAAATTGCAAAAAATCAAATGCAAAAACACAATTTGTTTACGAATTTTTATCCCGATTTTAGTCCGGATTTGCGAATTTATCAACAACTAATATTGATATTGGAAATGGGGGGCTAATCTATGTCATGCTTGATGAACATTGATGAACAATGATGAACAATATGAACGCGACAATGATGAACAATTTTAATTTTGTGATATTTAATTATAATTATTATTTTAAAAATTAATTAATATTATAAAAATAGATTTTCATTATTTATAATTATGTATTTCTTATTAAAAATACATGTATTAAAAAGAATACATAAAAAAAAATACAATTTTAATACATTATGGACATTAAAAATAATTCAAAATGAAAATAAAATACTAAATATAGGCCAATCAGATTTCGCAACATCAGTAAATTGTGGTGCCTTTTCTAAAGAATGACATTGTAGAAATTTCACATTAGAATCTTATCAAAGTTCGGATTCACTTGGATAACTCCTTTACCAAAGTGATTTAAGACTCGACTAAGGGGGGTGCAGTGGCAGAGGAAGCCTAAGGCATGCCAGGGCTAGTGTAATTGATCTCGCTACTCAATACATATCGTCAGTTATATGGTTGCTTCATCCAAGAGAGGATAAGAAGGGTCGAAATCATGAATGAGAGCAGGCTATCGTTTCCACCTTACCCTCATCGCACTACAAAAAAATGTACATATAGAAACGGAATTCTAGCGACAAAATTAGGGACAGAATTAAAAAATCCGTCTTTAAATTAATTTAGAAACGGAATTAAAAAATCCGTCTCTAAATTAATTTAGAAACGAAATTAAAAAATCCCTTTCTAAATTAGAGATGAAATTAAAAAATCCCTCTCTAGATTAGAAACATAATTGAAATTCCGTCTCTAAATTTTAAACGGCTTTTTTTTTCAGTTGCTAAATTTAGAGACGGATTTTTTTTTCTTTGCTAAATTAGATACGGATTTTTTTTCCGTTGCTAATATGAGCGACGGATTTTTTTTAATTCCGTTTCTAAATTTAGAGACGGACTTTCTTTATTATTATTTTTTTCCGTTGCTGATATGAGCGACAATATTTTTTTCCGTTGCTAAATTTAGAGACAAATTTTTTTTTTTCCGTTGCTAATACCAACGACAGATAAAAATAATTCGTTTCTAAAACCAGCGACGAAAATAAAAATCCATTGCTAAGTTCAACAACGGAAAACAAATACAACGTCGCTAGTCTCATTTAGCGACAATAGTTTTTCCAACGGAGTAATTCCGTTTTAAAATCTGTCGCTACCTATATTTAGCGATAGAAAAGTACAATCTAGCAACGGATTTGGTCTGTTGCTAAATGTCTATTTTTTGTAGTGTCGACTGCGGGACCTAATGCTTGTAGTTGGCTGACTTGGTTGATGGCTTGATGTCATGTGTGTGCCAAGTTAGGAAGGTTAGACCGACTAGTTGAAAGGCTTTTCGTTGAGAATAGTTATAAGTTCCTTGGGTTAAAAAAAATCATGGTCAAATAAATGAATGGATAAGATAACCATCTTTAAAATAAAAGGTGTAGATCAAAAGTAATATAGTGGTCACAATTTTATGTAGCTATTAAATAGTATTCCTTTAAAAATAATGATCTTAGAGTTTGTAATCTAGGTTGTTTCATAAGTGTTTGTTCTCAACATATTGCTTAATTTTATTTTTGATTTATCTCCTTTATTATATCATCGTTCTCTTATCCTACAAAATTTACAGCTTTCTATACATACCACTCACTTTATTCATAATTTTTTTACATTGTTCTCTACCAAACCCTATTAATTTATAGTCACATTTAATCAACCAAACATCACATTCTTGTTTTATATGTTGAAGTTATAATAAATAGAGAGAGGAGAAATAATATTATAAACTTGTATTCAATCTATTGAAAAACGTACTACATAACAACATATATAGTGCAAAACTAAGCTAAAAGTAAGGAAAATAATCATTAGATCATGCTAACATTAACCCACTAAACCCACTACTCTTAAGAAGGGCATATTTCTATATATTAGGAGTTAACTAACCACTAATAATATGAGGCAAATATTCCAACATTATGAAGAAAATTTTGACTGAAATAATCTTACAAAATCGAGTTTTATGAGAAATTTTCTTATATAAAAATGTTATATTGATTAACTACCTTTTAATTAATTTAGTTCATGTAATGTTACATGACATGCACGTGGAGTAGTCAATTATGAGATTTCGTATCAGCGACGACAATATGGTCAAAGATAGTATTTTAAAACATAAAGTGTTGTAAGTGGAGTTGATTATAACATTTTTATACATAATGGTTGCACACAAAAACCTAGCTTAGTTATAGATGATATTTTATGACATACGTTTTATAATTCACCTTTTATTAATTAACTAAACCTTAATGTTTTTCACCTTTAATCAAACGAACTATAATACCTCATTTTTCTAAATCTTCATAAAATAGGTATGTAAAAGATAAATAAATTTTTATTTGGAGAGAAAGAAAGTATTAATGGTCAAAATTGTGGATTGAAATTCTATTTATTTTTTTTTTATAACTATTAAAAATATATATATATATATTGAAACCATGAAAGTTGAAGCTATAATCGGCTGTAAAATGGAGAAAAAAGTTATAAATTATTTACCTCCACAAAGTTTGTAGTTGCAGAAAGTAAAGTGGGCAGAGCTCTACCTCCAATAAATACATCACCTTCTACTGATAAATGTTCAAATTTAAGTTCAACTTTCGGTATTTCGACTGCAACCCTATATACATGATGTATTTCCATTATTCATTAAAATTATTATCATCGAGCAATCAAACAGTTTACAAATAAAAGAGAAAAACATGGAAATACAAAAATGCTCCCCCTCCGTCCACTCATCCCAATCTAATCATTGTAGGATGGTTTGCATAAAGTTTTAGGTGATAATAATTAAAATGGATGTTGTTTGCTTATTTAATATATTAAATCGAAAAGTAATAAGGGTGAAATAGTTTAATTGAGTGAAAGGGGACGTGAGATCTTAACTTTTGATCCTTGGAAGATAGAATGAAGTAATAAAGTATTAGCAGGTCTATATCATAAAGAGGAGTGTGACAATTAATTTATGACAGACGAAAATAATTAGGGGATAATTAATTGGGACAAAAGGGTAACTAACCCACTATATAAAGACATTGATAAATACCTTGTGTTCGGTAGGTGTGACGGCTTAACCCATTTACAACAATTAATGACATCCAATTTGATCTTTTATTCTAGTTTCAATTCTTTGTCCAATTCATTTTTCTCTCTATCTTCTTCCCTCAAACAATCAATTAATTTTGTGCAATGCAACTCAATTGTTGAGGATGGCACAAAAGGCATAGGCACATGAGCGAAAAAGGATTGCAGATCCTCACTCAAAAAGACTCTTGATCCTTGTAGTGAACTTAGACATACCGAGTCACTCTACTCCAAGTTAGCTAACTTAGACAAATTGAGAGTGGAGGAGATTGTCAAGAGATCCTAAGTAGGCCTTTAAAATGCTCATTGTTATAATTGGACTCTCAATCTCAAGCTTAGTAGGTATAATTCTTACCATTAAATCAAATTTAGCTGGTTAAAATACTACAGATAACATAGTATCACTTTAGTAATCCACTAGATTAGTGCCCGTGCGATGCACAGTAGTAATAATCATTTTTTCCATTATTAATTTATAATATAATATAAAAATGAAGCAACTCGTATAGAATAAACAAATGCAATGCGTATAAGAAAGATGAAATGATAAGGCAAAAATTATTAAAACTGCAATTGAGAAAAAAAAATTAGTTTTGATTAGTAGTTGCAAATATTTAAAAATAGTATACATTATATTACATTAATGATGCATGTTATTCCCAATAAAACTATATTTTGTATGACTTTTTATTAATGAATTAATTTGATTAAAAAAATAAACTATACAATGTACTTCCAAAAAATAAGCTAAATAGAATAATTACAAAAAAAAAAAAAAAAAAAAAATCTTAAAGCTGATATCATTTATTGTATTGGCGGAATTTTTTTTTAATGATAGCGACATATGTCCAAAATTATCGATGTGAGCATAACCTGTTTTAGTAATAATTAATAGACTTTTTGAAGGAAAAAAAGTTATAAGTTGATAAAATTATTACAGAAATATTTAACAGAAAAATAACTTAATTATTATTATTTCATAAGATTTCAAATCAAAGCCATGAATAGAAATGTTTTATTTTATATTTTTTTTGACAGGGTAGTATAGATGTTAATATTGTATTTTTGGCTCCGTTATTTTATACTCTCCACCATATATCAACCTTCTAAATTATAGTTTATTCTCCCTTAATTAAAAGATCTCAAAATCTTGTTTAACTATTTAAGTAAATTGAACACGAAATAAAAAGGAATACAATTATTATAAAGATAGTATATAAAATTAAATAATATATTACTATAATTGTATTATACATATATTCTAAAAATAAAGATTTTTGTTAAAAAAAAGAAGGGGGAGTTTTGGAGGGAAAAAATAGCACCAGGAAGTGACACGTGTTATTCTTGGTGTCTGTTTTAGTATTATGTTATTGATATAAATTGCATTGTACAACTAGTTAGGCCCCGTTCACTTCACCTTAGTTTTTGCCGAAATGAAATTATTTTTACTGTACTGAAATTATTTTTGCTAAACTTAAATTATTTTTACTGAACCGAAATTATTTTTATTGAACTGAAATTATTTTTACTGATTTTTTGTTATATTTCTTCTTTAAAGTTACTGATTTTTACTGAACTGAAATTATTTTTACTGAAGTGAACTTATTTTTGTTGAGCAGAACTTATTTTTACTGAAATAAAATTATTTTTACCGAATATTATTTTTTAAGGTGAATTGAATGAGGCCTTAGACGTACTTTGTACTTTATATAGCAAAATACTTTTCAATTTAAAAATTAATTACTTCCATTTATAATATACACAATATTATCACACACGTTTAATTTAATTTATATCTTTAGTTTCATAGTAATCAAAACTATGTAAATATTATATGGATCTTGCTAACGAACGCTCTGGGACGTTAGATAAGCATTTAAAATACTTCCTAAATTGATATTAATTTGGGAATGCGTGATGCCAAAATCGCGCGTGAATCGGTAATTAATGTTCATTTTAATTTAATATTTCTACTTTTAGTTATGTTATATAAGAAAATACTCAATAATACAAAATACTATGTCGTATATTATTTCTTATGAACAATTACTACTAGAAAACAGTCGATTTCCGACAGGGACGTACTTCCGTCGGAAAAACCGAAATTTCCAACGGAATTAAATTTTCCGACGAATTCAAATATTTCATCGGAATTAAAAATCCATCGGAAAATAAGTTATTTTCGACGGATTTTAATTCCGTCGGAAAGTTTACACGGATTTTTTCCATCAGAAATTTCCAATGGATTTTTCGTCGGAACTATTATAAAAAAAAATAGCATAACCCTATTTCCTCCTCTCTCTTCTCCTCTCCTCCCTGTTTCTCTTCTACTCTTTCATTTCTCTCTCCTCTTCTTAGTTTCACTCTCTCCTTTCCTGTTCTCTTCTCCGCTCTTTCACTCTCCTCTTCGATTTCTTCTCCCCTTTCACTCTCCTCTTCGATTTCTTCTCCCCTTTCACTCTCCTCTCTGTTTCTTAAGCATAGCCACCAGCTTGATTTCATGCCCAACAATGACCCATTGTTGATCTCCTAACCACTAGCCCGTAGAGTATTTCATCAACGAACGAACACCAGTACCATTAACGAATGCCAAATTTGAGGTTTTCATTTCAAACACCATCAACTAAAGGTTTTTCATGTCAAATTCGACCATGAAAACTCTAGATCTAGAGTTTTCATAGTCGAATTTGATCTTTAAAGCCCAAATTTGACGTTTTTCTGGTGGAATTGAAGGTATTTCTTCGTTTTCTTTCTATTAGTTTGGTTTGATTTTTATTTTTATTTTTTTTGTATAATTGTGGGTTAATTTCGTTTTTGTGTGGTTAATGTTTGATTTCGTTGATTAATTTGAGTTTATTTTTGTTGATTTCGTTATTTTTTTGTTTAATTTTTATAGGTTGATTTCATTGTAATTTGCTTGGTTTCTTTTGTGGATTTTTTGTGTGATTTTTGTGGTTTTTTTTTTTTGAATTACTGAGATTTTTTTTTTGTAGTTTTTGTTGGTTGGTGGTTTACGGGGTGGAGGTGGGTGATTGGGCGGCAGTCAGTGGTTAGTTTGGGGATAGGGGGGCCAGGGGGTGGGCTCGTGGTGGGGGGGGGGGGTGGGTGGGATGCGTTTTTTTTTTTTTTTTTTTTTTTTTTAAAGCATTTTCCGACGGAATTTTCCGGCGGAACCATATCCGTTGGAAATTTCCGACGGATTTTTCCGATGCCGAAATTCCTCTTCCGAAAAACCAAATCCGACGGAATTTCCGTCAGAAAAGTCTTTCTGACGAAATTTCCGTCGGAAAAGGTCGTTTTTCCTACAAAAGGGTTTCCTACAACTGGTTCCAACAGAAACATGTTTTCTGACGGAATTCAGGGTGATTTCGAAGGAAAATTCCGTCGAAAATGACCTATTTTCTAGTAGTGAATAGTAAACGAGAATTTTCTTAAGAAAATAACAAAATTTATAAAAGTAAGGGATAGTATAAAGTAATCATTAAAATAAAACAAAAAATGAAAGGAAACTCACCGATTAATGTGGTGCCTAAGATTGGTAATGAACATCTCATGATCATTTGTATCAAGTATATTATGAAGCACTTCCTTCCACCCTTGTACCCCATCTTCTCCCTTTCCTTTGGTAGATAAGTCACTCATTTTTTTTTAACTAACTAGAATGCTAAGAGTGATACTAGTATAAACATTTTGGCAGGCTTACATATATATATGTTGATTTTGTTTTTTTAATTTTTTTTGTAATTTTTGTACGTGTGTGTGTGTGGGGAAATGAATTAGGTAGCACATTACTTGATTGCTTTGAAAAATGGCTACAACGGTACAAAAAATTTATGACACGATTATGAATTTATGACCCAATCTAATACGATGGAAGTAATTGATGGGATAATATAAATTAGTAAACGTTAATGGGCCTATGGGCAATTTCTGCATTATACACATGGCTTGATTGTCTATGTGGGGAAAAGCTAGATAACACTTGAGCACAATGGGGAATTTGTAGTACTGTGAAAACGGTTTCACAGTTCGGTTTCGGTTCGATTTAAAATTGGGTCGGTTTGAAATTGATTTAAGTGTTTTACGGGTCGATTTCAGTTCGGTTTAAATAATTATCGGTTCGATTCGGTTTCGGTTTATTCTTGAACGGTTTAAATTCGATTCAGGTTGTAAATGGTCCGGGTAGTAAACGGTTCGGTGCAGACGGGTTGCGGTTTGTTAACGGTTCGGTGTAAACGGTTTTTATCCCGGTTTAATTTTGGTTCGGATTGTAAACGGTTCGGGTAGTAAACGGTTCGGTGCAGACGTGTTGCGGTTTGTTAATGGTTCCGTGTAAAAGGTTTTTATCCCGGTTCAAACGGTTTTGGGTTAGAAACGGTTCGGTTCTTTTTTGGTTCAGTTTTATTTTAGTTCGGTTTATAACTGGTTCGGTTCGTTTACGAATTCGGTTCTTCTACGATTTAACATTATTCGGATCGGTTTTATTTCAGGTTTACTAAATTACGGTTCGGGTTTGTTTTTTATTTCAAAAAATCGGTTTTTTTATCGAGTCGTTTGGATTCGGACAAGTTTTATATCAAGCCGAGACTTCATCATTTCATATTGAGACATCATATTATATGCAAATTCTCAGTAATTTTATAAATACATATCATGTTATGTTTCAAGTTTAGCCATACTGATCTTACTAGTTTATTATGAAGTATATTATAAAAGTTTAGTGCATTAATGTATTATTGTTTTACTATCAGATTATTATCTGCTTCTTATTTGATCATTTAATTAATAGTGTCATAATCATGATTTGATGAGTTGTTGTGACATCAAAATTTGCAATTTGGTATTTGATACTTAATTAGTCAACAAGACTGATAATTAAGACTCGTTTATCATTATATATTTGCATAAAGTTATATATGAAGATGTTACAAAGTAGTTTGATTTGTATAATGAAAGAAAACATTAATGAATAAGAAGGTAATATTGATTCTTTCAATCGATTATACATATACATATACATATACATAAAATCTAACCATCTCATATTCTCATAGTTAAATATTTATTAGTATAAAGGGATGAGAATCATAAGATTATTATATTTTTGTATATTTTTTACTGGTTTACCCCTAAGGCTTAAGTCACTAATTAGTAATTACTAATACTTAATTAGATTAACAAGTTATTAAAAAAGAATAACTTTTAACTTGAGTCTAATAGATCAAATATTGAAATGCTATTAGTATATTACCGGGTAGAATAGTCTAGTACACTGTTAATCTGTTATGCAACTATGCTAAATTGACAATTGCTCATATAGTTATATTAGTCAATCACTCATGTAGTCATATGACTCATATCTAATTAAGTAATTTGTATTTATGTACTAATCTACTAGTCAATTCTATCATTTATAAGTTTACACGATTACAAGTGTATTGCTTACAACCTTACAGACACAACTAAACTGATATAAATATAATCATATAACAAATCCGTAGTACTTCTAACTCTCTAAGATATGACGTCATTATATTATTAAACGGTCTTCGATTTTTTTATTAATCGCAACGCTAGACATTTACACGCTAACAAATTCACATTTTATAATTTAAATAACTTAATAAGTTAATGTGTGTGTTAAAAAAATATATAAAAGCTGATATTATGAAGGTATATATTGTTATATCGGGATTTGAGAAATGTAATTAATTTTTTTTGAAGCTATGTGATTAATTAATTGTATAAAAGTTTGTTTAATGTTATTCAAATAAAATTAAAAATTTTGATTTTTACAAAGTGGAACATTGATTTCCTTTTTTTTTTGGTTGACAATTTCGTCAAAATATGAATGCTGGGAAATTTCCCTCCAAAAACCAAAATCCGGACCCTTATTTTCTCCGCTTCTCTTTCATTCACCGCCTCTTCCATTCTCTTTCTCTCTCCTTTTCCCCCTGTCTCTTTCCCCTCACCGATCTCTCCTTTTCCCCTTTCTCTTTCTCTCTTCTCTCAACAACCACAATTGCAACAACTAGCCACGCGTCACCTCTTTCCACCACAACTCCATCACCTCCAGCCACGCGTCACCTTCAACAACCAGCCGCCGCTCAACAACAACATCAACAACCAGCCGCCGCGTCACCTCTAGCCAACAACAACATCAACAACCATCAGTTTGCAGATCTAGTGTTATTTTTCACAAATTTATGATTATAATTATTTTTTTTATGAAAATGTAATGTAAGTTTATAAATTTTGTAATGTAAGTTTGTAGACCTGGTTTTTCGGATTTTTGGACTATGTAATGTATAAATTGTTTTTTTTCGATTTTTGGGTTTTTTTTTTTCGATTTTTGGTTCGATTTTGGATTTTTGTTTTGGATTTTGATTTTTGTTTTTTTGGATTTTTGGGTGCTTTGGTTAATTTTCAATTTGGTTTTATTTTTTTCGTTGGGGTTAGGGGGTTGGTTAGGTGGGGTGGCGGCGGCTCGATAGGGGAGGTTTAGTCAAGGTGGGTGGGCGGGTGGGGGAGGTTTGGTCAGGGTGGGTGGGGTGCGGGAAGTTTGGTTTGGTCAAGGTGGGTTGGTGGGGTGGGGGATCTGGTCTAGGTGGTGTGGGGTGGGGTGTCTGGTGTGGGTGTGGTGGAGGTGGTTAGGCGTGGTGGTTAGTGTGTGGGGGGGGGGGGGGTCTGGGTGGGTTATGGTTTGGGTTAGAGGGTTGGTTTGGTGGGGAAGTGGTAGCTCGATAGGGTGGGTTAGGGTGGTTGGGGCTGGTGGTGCTGGTTTTTTTTTAACGTTAAATGGTTCGGTTTCTAATCGGTTTGGTTTATAATCAGTTCGGTTTATAAACGGTTCGGTGAAAACGGGTTGCAGTTTGTTAACGATTCGGTGTAAATGGTTTTTATGCCAGTTTAAACGGTTTCGAGTTAGAAACGGTTTGGTTCATTTTCGGTTCGGTTTTCTTTCGGTTCGGTTTAGATTTGGTTCGGTTCTTAAACGGTTTAACGTTTACTCGGATCGGTTCTGTTTCAGGTGTACTAACATGCGATTCGGGTCGGTTTACGGTTTCATAAAATCGGTTTTTAATCAGTTCGGTTCTCATTCGGATCGGTTTGAACCAGTTCGGTTCGGTTTTTGACAGTGCTAGGAATTAGGGATTATATATTGAAAACAAACTAATTACGGAGTATTTCTTACATTCTTTAAAAATTACTACATAACAGTAATTGGTAGCATAAATATTAACTTATTAAGGGATACTCCGTCTGTCTCTTTATTTTTGCCCTATTTGACTTTTTACGGTTTTCAAGACACGTGTTAAATCGTTTATATCTCTATTTTTACACAAGAGAAAATTGTAAAAAGTTGATATTAATTAAATATACAATGAGACGAACCAAACAAGATTCTACATGATTATATTACCTATTGTAAAATAATGAGAATTTATGGTCAAAGTTTTCAAAGTTTGACTTAAATTTTGGCAATTCAGCAAAAAAATAGGGACAGAGGGAGTAGGAGAGTGATAATAAGATGAAGCATATGTCTATATAGTAATATATAAAGAGAAGAAGAGTTTTGGGTGATAAATTTCACTTTTTCAAACCACGCTATCTCAACCTTTTTATCATATTTTGTTTTTAGCATAATACATAGTACTACTTACTTTTGAATTATTAGTAGGTAAATTTAGCAATTTTTCAACTTTTTAGGATATTGATTCTCGTCTATGGATGATTTTACAAATTGTTTTTTTTTTTTTTTTTTTTTTTTTTTTTTTTTTTTTTTTTTTTTTTTTTTTACACAAACACTACCTATGTTTGGGTTTAGAACTTATACAGTCATACTTCCAAATTTACGCAAACGAACACGGTCTCTTAGTCAGCCAAACCCGAATATCTTTCTTCCCAAATAAGTTTTAATCGACTATATCCCATTAATTTTTTTCTACATTCACCTTTAATGAATTTTTACCTCACCATTGTTATACTGTTATTCGGATGACGTAGTTTTGATTAAGCTCCGTTACCATGCTAGAATGTGTAATACGGTAACTAACCAGTCGATTCATATCGTACCATATTAAAAATGTTTTAGGCGTTAGTTGACCTTTGAAGAGTTTTGATGATGATGAGAAAAAAAAAAACTTAAACTAATGAGATTTCTCTGAGTGTTGGACTAGTGCAGGTGAAGTAGACTCAGGGAGTGGAACAGTAATTTGAGCTATGAAGATTACAAAGAGAAATAAGAGAAAGTAAGAAAGAATAGAAGAAGAGTTCCATAAGGAACTAGACCGGTGATCCATAACTGGAACACAGAGAGAAGCTTCCTAACAGTATTAGGACATCAAGCTAACTAATAAGCCTAGTCTGCATTGAAGACAACAACTTCCAGAGCTAACTTCCTAACCGTAGCATTTTAATAGTTTTTTTTTTTTTTTTTTCAGCTAATTCACGGGACAATCTTCTATTGCTTTGGTTTTCATCTTAACCGTAGCACATGTGGAGTGGTAAAAAACGATTTTTCCACTAGTGTCTAAACTTGATCTTTATTCGGTTTTGGCAAAGAATTTTATCAAATGAGGCTTTTCTACTCAGGTTTATATTTTGGTATATTTAATGTTTATCTTTTTAATAAAAACCCTACTTGGTGTATGAACGCTTCTTATAAATAAAGGAGTTCATATTCTGAGTAAAGCGTGAGTTTTATGCGTGAAAAACCTCAAGAACACTTAAGAGTAAGTTTGCCAAAATTAAGAGGTTTATCATATTAGTTTTGGGTTTCATGCATGTGTAGATTTTCAATCACATATTAGAGTTTAACTGTTTGTGTTGTTTTGGGATTTGGGTGTGAGTTTATATTGAAGACACAATGAGTGAGCTTCTAGTGTGAAGCTAAGCCGAGTGATTAGTAATCTTGGAGTGCTGAGTGGAACTTAAGTCAGGGACTTAGGTTGGGTAGGATAGGGTCCTATCGAGTAGCAAATTTAGTTTGGAACTTGTGAGAAAACTCTGATTATATTAGGTAGTAACTATCAGCTAGTGTTTGGCCTATTATAGTGAATTGGTTTTGTGTTACAAATCCTTTGGGATCGAGGTTTTAATTTACTTCCAGATAGACCCTGGAAGGTTTCCTCGTAAAT